ATGTAAGTAACTGTAATATGAGACAGAATATGTTAAGTAATGTATCATGGGAAATCAGAGGCTGAAGAGATTACTTTTAGTTGATTAAGACTGGGGATGAAAGAAACAACACTTAAATTACGCTTTGATGAATTGGGGTTTTTGAGTGTAAAGATGCAGAAACAGCTGGGTAAAATAGTAAGTACTAAGCAGGAAATCTCTGAGACTTTGAGTCACTCCATTATCCAGATGCAAGCAAAACAGGGCTCCCAAAAGAGAACTAAGTGACCCACACTAAGTATGGCTGTAAAACTGGAAATACCCAGGATACCACAACCACTGCTCTACGAGGCCGACACAGGTTTCTATTCATGTTGGATATGGTCACTTTTAAACAAGATAAATTTAACCTATCCTAAATTACTATCTGGCTTCTTAAATGCCTTGAAATTATAGTTTCCTTCATACCAATACTTACTGATGTCTAGCAATTATTAAAGTATAACATATACAAAAGGTAAATTCTTCCCTCTATAATTTGATGATTTTATTTGGGGGAAGTATGATTCTCTGAGGCTTATTTTTGGAAAAGAAAATATAACCTAAAAGGAATTTCCAAGAACCTTTGATTGTTTTTACACATGCAAAAACTGAGGGACCAGAAGTTAAAGGATTTTCCCAGGACTGTTAAAAAGTCTCAGATAAGTAGAGCCTCCTCAAGCAACTTTTAATGTATTTACTAAAATTTGAGTGTATTATTGTTTTTGTATTAAGTAACACTTTCTCCTATCCAGATTTAAATTACACCATCGGAAACATCCTTGAGAAAAGAAATCTAGGGAAGCAGATTTCTGTTCAGTCTCTGCTATTTATCATGTGTCCTTGAATAAGTCACTTAATTGCTTTTTGAATATGCCTAAAATCAGAGTCAGTTTAAATGAAATCTAAAGTACCTTTGAATCTTTTTTTTTTTTTTAAGATTTATTTATGCATACAAGAACTGGGGCACAGGCCAAAGGTGCAGGGGGTAAGAGGATTCATCAGAGAGAGTAGGGAGAACAGACAGATCTACTGAAATGCACTGCTGGGGGGAGCAGGTGAGGCAGGAGAGATCTGCCATGCTGTGTCCATCACTTCACTGGGAATGGAACTCATGCTGCAGTAGCCTCTGATAGCTTTGTAGTGCTGTGCTTTAACCTGTTGTACCACCAGGGAGGACCCACCTTTGAATCTTTTAAGATTTTGTAAGCCCAAGCATGTAAAAACTTTCAGCAAAAGAAAACACAGTACTTCAATTTCACACCCCCTCCTCCAAAAGTAATGACTTTGGAGTTATATGTTTTAAAATATTAAGCTCTTAGAAGGCAAACTACCTAACCAAAACAAACTGTGTGTGCAAAAGAGCTGCCATATCACCCTTTTATTCACACTAGTGACAGAGATCCAAGAAAAAAAGCAGATAGTATCTCAGCATAAATATACTCAACTCTCCTAAGAAAAATCCTGAACTGACTTGAACTTCCAAATGCTTAGTATTCCTTACTTTCAGACTTAACCATTATTTTCTCCTTAATTCATTGTAACAAACTTAGTAAGGCTAAGTTTGTCATAAAGGATCATTTTGTCTTTTGTATGAATGAAGTAATTACAGATAAAATCTGAGGTAAGATTATAATAAAATCTGACCACATACTAAACCTAAAATCTGAAACGTTACTCAGTGATTGTTTCAAACCCATCACAAGCTTTGTTCTAATAAGGACATTTTTCTCAGTTTCTACAGTGAACTACTTATTTGCAGATTAAGTAGATGGCAAAATAATGGAAACATAAAATCATGGTCACTCTTTGCTGTCAAACAACCAAAACTACATAAAGAACAAAACAGCTGTGGAGCTGTTGTATTATATATGAAAAAGGGAAAGACAAGCAAAAATAATCTCCTAATTGGGAACTGCTACTACTGTGTAGGATTTCACATTCTACTCTTATGTGTAGTTCAACCAAACAATTCAAATCTAGCTTTCTAGTAATTAGTAACTTTTGGGATCTAACCTTAAGATTGTTAATATTTAATTTGAACATTATAGTAAGATCTATTGTCTACGTTTAATAAGTAAGAACAGTACTCTGTAGACGGGCAAAGATTTCACAGACTTGTACTACCATGTGACTTAATATTAAGCTTATTAATAATTTTTTGTTATCTAATTTGTTTATTTTTATATTTAGTTTATGCAAGTATGTTTATGATGGAAAAAACTGTGATATATGACAAATCTTGACAGTAAGAACATGTTCTCAATCTATAGGAAAAAAGATCAAATCAAAAGATGTCTTTTACTTCATAATAAATTCATCATAAATCATTTGATTTTGTACCTGTCTATTTATCTACTAGGACTTCACAGTATAGGAATAGAACTTGTGCGACAATGGCTGCTGACTGCTTCATTTTGTGTTTTGTTCAGTACCTAAGCCAAAGGAAATTTATGTCCCTTACTTTGAAATGCATTTAAATTAAAAAAAAAAAAAAAAAAAGGATGGATTAGATGTAGTAAAACAGTATGGTGAAATGTTGATTATAGAATTTAACTGGTGGAAACTCCCTGGTGGTTCAACAGAGATTAAAGCACAATGCTATGAAGCTACCACCGCCACTGCAGCACAAGTTCGATCCCCAGTGAGGGAGCTGACCCACATGGCTTCAGTAGATCTGCCTCTTCTGCTCCTGTCTCTGGTGAATCCTCTCACCCTCCCCTGTTCCTCTGGCCTGTACTCCAGTTCTGTATAAATAAATAAATCTTTTTTTAAAGAAAGAATTTAACTGGTGGGTTTCTTTTTAAATTTTTTATTTATTTATGCATACAAGAACTGGTGTGGGAGAGGGTTGAGAGGATTCATCAGAGACAGTGTGGGGTGCAGAACAGGCAGACTGAAGCACACTGCTGAGGGGGCCTGCAGGCAAGACAGAAACAGGAGAGGGTCAGAAGCAGGCCTTGTGGATGGGAATTGGAACTAGGGCAGCAGTGGCTGCTGACTGCTTCACAGTGCTAAGACTTAATCCCTTGCGCCACCAGGGAGGCCTCTTACCTGGTGGTTTTATGAGTGAAAAACTGTCAAGGTCTTCAACTTTTCTAGATGTTTTAAATTTTTATAATAAAATGATACGGAAAAATCAATTTTCAGAAATTTTGATACAACTTTTAGAGCCAAACAATCTTACAAAATGCCACTCTGTTTGGCCATCTCTATTGTCCAGGGATCTCTTGAAATCGGATGTAAAAACATCACAGAAAAAGTAGTACCTAATGTCTTAAGACGGCAGGAGGAACAAGTACTGGGATTAGCTGTTTTCTAGAGCACACAAATCTGGGTATCTGTATCACATCATGCCCAAATAAACCAAAATATATGTATATTTGACACAATATAAGTCCAAGTACACCTGTCAAAATAACATGCAAAAATTCATATTTTGTTTATCACTCAACACCTAGAGTTTTACCTTCCCTGAGTTATCAATGATTTAAAAAAATCACATTCCACAAACTTTTTAACAAGCAAGATTTCTGTAAAGTGATCTAGTCTTTATGTTGTTTCTATATAACACAAGTTTAAATCTGACTATTAAAATCATTTTATGCTCTAAAACACACTACAAATACATTCAGGATGTAAACGGAGAGCTTAGAAATCTCTACTGAAATACTGAGTTTCCTAGTGGAAATAAAAATATCAGGCGTGTTTGGGCATTTTCATGTCCAACATAAAAATTTAATGAGTCAAATCCGCTTGATGCAATTTATATGCCTTTAGTTGAAAAACAGAAATCTTCCAGTTGTTTAAAATCCAAACATGAACCCCCATCATTCAACTTCCCATCTAAAAGCCTTGTCAACAGTGTAATCAATGACACTAAAAAACACTGTCATCTCTCAAGTGTGGAGGAAAATAGGTTAAATCAACGTAATATTAATTTATTTGTCAAAGAATTAAAACAAGAACATCCTTGAAAGACAAAACAGCATAACATGCACTAAAATATAAATTACTAGCTCAGTTAGTCACTTGGAATCCCTTCAACTTCACAAACATCCACCAGTTCTAGTAATAAAGCAAGACACAGCGGAGTGGCCAGCTGTCTGTCCCTTTCTCACGCACGAGTTCTTCCAGTCTCCACCATGGAAGGCACGGAACAGAGCTAACGCCTCTGAAGGTAAGTAACAGATTCCACGGCGTGAACCCTCGAACTCCTCCTCCTGCCAGACACCGGATTACGACGTGCCACATACACATTCGCTCCACCTGAGCACCTTGCTGGCCCCAGCCCCCTGGCTGTGTCCGAGGTGCTCCCACTGCCCAGCGCAGATTCAGGCACAGCGACAAGCGGACACACCTAACTTCTGTAGAAGTAGTGGACGGTTTCAGAGACATTTGGGACCCACAAATTGAGGCTCCAAACTACTCGTTCCTGTCGGGCGCCTCCTTCCGAATTTTTCTCTATGCCCCCCTTCCGAACAAACAAGAGAAAAGTCCTGAACAACGACGGGTTTGCATTTCTCACAGCAACGGCCCGGCCAACTGGGGGGGGGCCGGGGGGTTGGGGATAGGGGGGTGGGAGGAGAGCGGGGTGCTGAAGGAAGCGACTTCCTCGACAGAGGCCCACCCTCCTGGGCCTAGGGGTCCGAGGACCCCGCTGGGCACCGGCGCGGGGGTCCGCGGCTGGAACCCAAGGGCACCACATCCCCCGCTCGGGTCCCGGCTAGGTGGGTACTAACTGGGAGCTGGGGGAGGGGAGCGGTGGGCGCGACCGCAGAGAGAGGCGACAGGTCCTTCGGATCTTCCGGGTTGTCGGGCACCGGGCGGGGAGGGATACAGTTCCGGGGCCCTGAAAGCAGCACCCGGCTCCTAAAGCACCCGAGGGGTAGGGCTCCCCTGGCCCCCGTACCAGGCCGTCCCTCAGGGAGAGCGGCCGAGCGAGGCCGAAACCCGGGAGTTCGACCTGACAGGGATCTTACCATGGTGAGGGCGGTGGTGGGGCGCACCCGCGCTCCGACTCCACTGGGGCAAGGGTTTGGGTCAGGGGAAGGGGAGCACCGGCCGCTCCGGACCTGCCGCCCCCCTGACAGGAGCCGCTGCCGCTTTGCCTCTTGCCAAGATGGCGGCCTCGAGCCACGTCTCCAACCGGAAACGGGGAGGGTCAAAGGGCGGGGGGCGGGGCGCCGGGGGTGGGGACTCGGTGGGTACCCGGCTGCTGCTCCGCCAGCAGAGAGCGGGATGTGTGGGGGCTCACCCCTGCCCCGGCGCCTCTACGGTTTGTTTGTTCCCTGGTTGTCAGCACCTGCATTCAATCTGCGACACCCCTCACAGTTTATTAAACCATAGCCACCGCCACACTATCAGTCAGTCCACAAAATACCCGAGATCACCGGGACTAGTATCCTGAATATATAAAGAACTCTCGTAAATCGCCACTAAAAAAGACACACCAATTTTGAAAATGGGCAAAACAGACATTTCTCCAAAGAAGATATGCAAATAACCAATAAGTATGTAAAAAGATGCTCAGCATCCTTGGTCCTTAGAAAAATAGAAGTGAAGACCACGATGAGATGCCACTGCATACTCAGTAGGATGGCTGTATTGGTGAGAATGTGGAAAAACTTGAATCCTTATACACTGTTAATAGAAATGCAAAATATTGCAGTTGGTTTTGGAAAAATTTCCTCAAAAGGTTAGATACAGAGTGACCATAGGACCAGCAATTCCACTCAAAGATAGGTACTCAAGAGAATTAAAAGCATAAGTTCACATAAAAATGAGTATACTGATGCTCAGAGAAGCACTATTCCTAACAGTCCCAAAGTGGAAACATTCCAAATGTCGATCTAAAGATGAATGGATAGCAAAAATGTGGTATATCTATAAATATTAATTATAAAAAGGAATAAAGTCCATGCTTCAACATGAATGAACCTTGAAAATACATTAAGTGGAAAATGACAGTTACAAAATCACAGCTATATGATTCTATTTGTCCACAATAGACAAATTCATAGAAACAGAAAGTTGGGCTGCAAAGGACTGAGGAACACAGAGTGAGGTTTGTGTACTGTAAAGATGAAAATGTTCTGGAATTAGAGGTGGTGGTTGTTCAATTTTGTCAATATCCTGAAAACTACTGAACTGTACACTTTAAAATGGTGAACTTGTGGTTTGTAAATTATGTGTGTGTGCAGAAAACAGAAAAGTTCTGTGACAAGTCTCAGAAATTTACCTAAAGTTCTAGGCCAGTATATAATGGAAACAAGACTCAAATTCAGTTCTCTGATTATGTTGGTAGAAATCCCCATACCAAATGTTAGACTTCTTAGAATATACATGATTCAGTGCTTCTTCCCTATACAATTTTATCTCTGGCTCAATTCTCCAGCACCCAACCATTGCTGCAATAAGGGAAAAATTGTCATCTTTTATTGAGTTTTTATTTTATATCAAGTGCTTTACATGCTATCTCTAAATCTTTACAATCCAGATAAGAACATGGAAGAGCAAGGAAATTAAGCATTTGTCCACTCACACAACCATTAAGTGATATTTAAATCAGGATTCAAATCTAGATTTTCTTATTATGCTACTATGACTCTCTATATCTCCTGCATATTTCTTAATGTTCACTGAACACTTACAGTGTACCAGGCATTACTCTAAATTCTTCACACAGGTTATCTCATTTAATCCTTACAATATTATATATATATATATAAAACATCATTATATATATAATATATTACATCATTTTTTATAAATATATAATATATTACATCATTTTATATAATATATTACATATATAATATAACATATATATTACATATATAATATATTACATCACTATATATATAATATATATATATTACATCATTCTCAATTTTGTGCATTTTTCCATCTCAGTTGTAATCCCCATGGGCTTCCTACCACCAATTCACCCGTGTGCCAGTGCAGTCTTCCTACCCCAGTTCTGATCCCATTCCCTTTTCCACCCCCATAAAAAATGTCTCTGGTTTGTATTTGTTCATTGTTTTCATTTTTACTCAATTACATTTGTTTCTCTCTTTTCCCCCACCCCCTCCATCCCTTACACTCCTGCTCTGAGCTAAACCATCTGGTATTTTTCCTTTTCTTTCTGGCTTATTTCACTGACAATGATCCCTTCCAGCTCCATCCATATTGCTGCAAAAGGCATGAATTTATCTTTTTTGATTGCTGACCTTACAATATATTTTAAAGATTTATTTATGCATACAAGAACTGGAGTACAGGCCAGAGGTGTGGGGATGGGTGTAAAAGGGTTTATAGAGACAGAATGAGGAGCAGAACAGGCAGATGGACTGAAATACACTTCTGAGGGGAGTAGCAGGGTGAGACAAGAGATGTCTGCTGTACCATGTGGGACACCTCACTGGCCAGGGATCGAACTCGCTGCATTGGCTGCAGATATCGTCATAGTGCTGTGCTTCAAACTGCCTTGCCACGGAGAGGGCCCCAATCCTTAACAATAATTTTTTGAGATAGGTACTATAATGTCTCCATTTTACAAGTGGAAGAAATAAGGTATATAGAGAAAAATCTGATACCACAGGCTAGGAATTAGCAAAGCCATCATTCAAACAAAGGCTACTCAATTTCAGACTGTATCACTAAGCACTCATTTTAGAATTCTCAGTCTTACCCATATCAATTGCATCAACACTGCAATTGGACTTTCTTGTGGAATCTTTACAAAGCTCTAATATTTCTAAACTTTGTATGTCTACAAGAAAAATGTCAAACTGTATTGTTCATTTTTTTTTGTTACAAAAATCAGGAACAGGGCCCTCTCTGGTGGCGCAGCAGGTTAAAGTGCAGCACTCCCAAGCCAGCTGCATGAGTTCGATCCCTGGCCAGGGGGGTGGCCCCACATGGCACAGCAGACCTCTCGTCTCCCCACTGCTCCCTTCAGTAGTGTACTTCATCAGTCTGCCTGTTCTGCTCCCCGTTCTGTTTCTGGTGAATCCTCTCCCCACCCCTGCACCTCTGGCCTGTACCCTAGTTCTGTATGCATAAATAAATCTTTTAAAAGATCAGGGACAATTTTTTTAATTAAAAAAATACTGAAATACATGAAGTACTGAAATCTGTAAAGATCAACTGAAGATGATTGTTTGGAAATATGGCACTAGCTGAATTAAACTGCAGAATAAAAGCATCACTACAAGCATGCTTCATGAGGTGTGCATAGGAAGTACTATGTCATAATGGTTAAAAACAGAGACTCGGGAATTAGACTGACATGTGTTTGACTCCTATTTTCAATATTTACTAGGTGAGTGAGTTTAAGGAATTGACTTTAAGTCTTTAAGCCTCCAGTTCGAATCTATAAATTGATGGTAATATCCAAGATTGTGATTTTAGATACTATATTACTAAGATTATATAATCTAAGTGTTCCTACAGAGAAGGTGCTCAACAATATGTATCGATTATTTTTTAATAGATGTGTTTATTTATGCATACAGGAACTGGGGTGTAGGCCAGAGGAGCAAGATGTGAGAGGATTCACCAGAGACAGAGCGGGGAGCAGAACAGGCAGAGCGACTGAAATACACTGCTAAGCAGAAGAGAGAGCTAGACAGAAGAGGTCTGCTGCTTCATGTGGGCTAGCTCCCTGGCCTGCCAGTGATCAAACTCCTGCTACAGCGACTGGGCTAGCCTGATAGCACTGTGTCTTTAACCCCTGGCCACTAGGGAGGCCCTATATATATCTATTATCATTAGCAATATGATGGGAAGCACACAGGGATTACAACCGAGATGGAAAAATGCACAAAATTATATAAAAATAAACTATTATAGTATTAAAAAAAAAAGCCCGTACTGGCCCACTTGTAAAAAAAAAAAAAGGATGTAAAATACATATTTATATAAACGTTACAGCCTTCCTCTGGCAAGTTTTCAGAGTCAAATTTCCAATATTTCTGTCTTCCAAAGTTCATAGTCTATCGCTTTTTATATTCCTTAGTTCTTCATTCCTTCACTCATCCACCAATGAGCACATTTAAAGCACTTTATTTATACAATGTTATGAAGGGTTTATACCTTAGACAGAGATCATACCCTCAAGACCTCAGTTTTCTTTAGCAAATAAACTAGAGGAAAGAGGTTAAATTTCAAATCTCAGATAAGTAATGGATAGTTTGCTAATATAACTATGTCCCAGGCAATGAGACACTGTGGAAAGAATATAATGTAATATAAAAAGATGTGTGTGTGTGTGTGTGTGTGTGTGTGTGTGTGTGTGTACACGCCTCGTTTCCAGATTGGAGGGCTAAATACATAAACTCTATTCTTCACCCCGCTTTTGCCATCAGCGGTCACTAGATGTCGCCAGAGACGCATTTACTGAAACCATAGACAACCAGACAACTCGATCGCCTAGAGAGGCGTTATCCGATCTCTTCTTGCTTCTCCGTGCATCCTTCCCTGGAAGAGACGTAACGCGGGAGCTGGTGGAGGAGGTCTCACGAGATGAGATCAAGTCTCGCGATGTTTTTATTTATTTATTTATTTATTTATTTATTTTTGCCTAGCGACGGGCAACGGGTCCGTTGCTCCAAACAGAACTCCTGAGGGGCCCGAACTGACACTGGAGTGAGACCCCAGTCCTCGGCTGGGGTTCTTTCCATATAGAGGAGACGGATTCAGAGGGGCTACAGGTAATTCGTACTTGCTAGCTGAAAGAGAACTCCTTATCTTCCTCCAAAAGAGATTTAGAAGTACTCCCCGCCCCCTCGCAGCTCTCCCATCTCTTCCCATCGCCGTGACAGCTGCTCCTTCTCCCTTTCCTTCACGCCATCACCAACTGCTTCCTTAACTCTCCAAAAAACAGAGTGGGGTCCAACATGCAGTAGCAGGATTGAAGAGGGGGTGATTTCAGGATTATTGATGGGACCGAGAGACTAGTTTTCTTTCCCTCTTACAGACACTCTCCTTACCCCAGGTGACCCCAGAGACAGAACTCTTTCTAGAATCTCTGCAGTCTCCCCAGAGAAATCTCTTCTGACAGCCAGTGTGAAGCTGGTCCCACCTCGAGGAGCGTCACCATCTACAGAAGAATAGTGTTCTCCCCTTGCGCCGAAGTCTTACAGCTTGGGGGAGCTGCTGCAGAAGTTCGCCGACTTTTCTTCCCCTTGCCTCCCTCTACCTCCCAGTGCCCCTCACGATTCCCTAGTTTCACAGTCGGCCTGACAGTACTTTCTAATAAGGGCTACAGCAGAATGATTTAATTGCTTAACCATGTGGCCAAGATTCAGAGTAAAGTTTGAATAGAGGTTAGAGTAGGGTGAAATTTTCATGTAAAACTGCTCTGGGTCAAGGAAGAGGAGCCAAAGCTGGTTTGGAGTCATACATCGTTCCATTTAATGTACGTAATGCCCCATAATATGAGCTATATAATCATGTCTTCTTTTGCTTAGACCAAGATTGTTGAAAACCAGACATATGATGAGCGTCTAGAGATTAACGACTCTGAAGAGGTTGCAAGTATTTATACTCCAACCTTAAGACACAAAGGTAAGAGAGGAAAGCGGAGAGATGATCCCCAGCACAAAGAACAGGTGTATTCTTGATAGTCTCCACGAAGTGTTTATAATAGCAAATGCTTACTTTCAATATCAAGTTGCTTCACTTGCCATTATTTCTGTTTTCTAATTAGTTGGGGGTGGGAGATAAGCCTCTCAGATTGCAGGATTTCTCTCCGGCCTGTTTCCTATCACCATTTTATTTCACAAATTCTGCTTTGCTTACAGTCTTCCAAAGGTTTGTGACTTTTGTTAACTTATCAAATCTGTTCTGCTCAGTTTTGGAGAGGCTTCAATAACCTGCCCTTAACTTGCAATTCCAATAAAAATTTCAGTGAAATATTTTTAGAGGATCTGATACCATTCAGCAAATATTTTTGGAATGCCTACAAAGGGTCAGCCTTATGCTCGGCACTAGGTATATGTATTAAATAAGACAGGTCTTGCCATGGAAGACAGATGACAAGTGAATAAACAAACATAATTACAAATATGGTAAGTATTTGGAGGTAACAAATCTGATGTTATGGAGAGTAGTAGTGAGGAGTGGGATCTAGTTTAGTTAGGTGTTCAGTGAAAACCAAGGAGGTGACATTTGAGTTTGAAAGATGAGAATATGGACATTGAGGAAAAGTAAGCTAGGAAGAGGAATAGCAGGAGAAATGTTAAAAGGCCCTGAGACTAGAAGGAACTTCAGTTAGTTCTGAGTACTTGAAAGGAACCAGCATAATGGGGAGGGGAGTGAGGCTGAAGGTGGAGATAAATATCAGAAGTAGACTGGCAGGAGCTAGACAGAGGTAGTCAGAAGGCACAACAAATGGAGTGCTAAAGGCCATGTCGCTATTATGTGTGGAATGGATTAAAAGGTACAAAGATGAAGGGAGGGAAGGGCCTCCTGGTGATGCAAACTATGGCCAGCCACTGTTGCACAGTACTAGGCACAAGTTCGATGCTCAGCCAGGGAGCTAACTCATGGCGCATCCCACTGCTCCCCTCAGCAGTATATTTCAGTTAGTCCACCTGTCCCCACTCTCTCTCTGTTGAATCCTCTCACTCCACCCCCAGCACCTCTGGCCTACACCCCAGCCTTTGTATACATAAATAAATCTTTGAAAAGATGAAAGGAGGGAGCCATTTAGAAGGACTGTTACAATCACTGAGCTAAAGTGCTAGTGGCTTGGATGTCATTAGGAACTTAAGAGGCAAATATGAGATAAATTATAATAGAATCCCTAAGACTTATTGATGGATTGGATTTGACTCTAGAGTTAGAAAACAAGGGTGATCTCTAGGGTTGTTTCTGTTTTTGTTTTTGTTTTTTTAAAATTTATTTATTTATGCATACAAGACCTGGGGTGGCCAGAGGTGTGAGGAGGGTGAGAGTCTTCACCAGAGACAGAGTGGGGAGCAGAACAGGCAGATCTACTAAAATACAGTGCAGAGGGGCGCAGCAGGCAAGACAGGAGAGGTCTGCCATGCCATGCGGGTCTGCTCACTTGCTGGGTCTTAAACTCATGCTATAGTAGCTGGCTATAGTTTGAGAGCACTGAGACTGCGCCACCAGGGAGGCCCAGCTAGATATTCTTCTAAACCCTGTTCCATAAAGTAGTAAAAGCATAAAATGTTATAAAACGAAAGTATTTGTCTTTAAAACATCATTTCAACAATAACCTAAAGGGAAAATTTTTCTTCTAAGGACCTCCTCGGTCTGCTCATCTGCTTAACAAGACTATGGCAGATAACAGCAGTGATGAGTATGAAGAAGAGACTAAGGTACAGTATAATGTGAAATTTCTACTTTGAGTTTTTAGTAGTTAGTTTGAAATGACACCAGTTGAGCAGTAAACACTTCTTGAATACTCCCCTCCAGTGGCTGGGTACCTTTGAGTTCATGGAGGAAAATCATAAGCAAATTACCTTAAGATTTGAACCCTTATGAATAAAGCTTACTGTTATATCTGACTTTTTGGTGAAGAATTTTACATAATGTAGGCCAGTATTTTGCAGACATTATTGATCATATAAATCACTGGGGTATTTATTTTTAAGAGTACAGATTCCCAGCCCCCAACAAGAATTACCCAGTCAGAATTGTGAAGGTAGAATGCTGAGAATCTCTTTTTAGCAATCATTTCAGGTAATTCGTATGTCAAAACATTTGGAACAAAGCGAAGAAGCATTTTGTTAATTGTCAATACTTGTGATACTACCAATATTTTGTGAATGACACTTTGATTTTAAGATCTTGAGGCCCAGAAGTCACTTTCTTGTTATTGTATGAACCTAGAGAATTAGTTTCTAGAAGGAAGTTGGGAAGATGTGTACCGCCCCGTTCAGAATTGTCCTTACCACTGCAGTGCACTTCGTTCAACAGCCATTGCACTTAACCTTTGCACATGATCCACAGGTCACATTTTAATGGTTCTTCAAGAACAGGTACTATGAAAACTCTGGCAAAGAAGAACATGTGAATTAATGCAGGAAGCTCTAAGGTCATAGATTGGTTTTCACAGCAGGCCGAGCTAGCCCTTCTTTGTGATGAGTGCACTATCCTAACATCTTACTCACAAAGTAATTTTTAAAAGCATTTTTCTGTGGCATTTAAAGTTCTTTGTTTTAGATCAAGGATTTTGTAAAGTACAGCTTTTAGGAAGCAGACGAAAGAAAAATGAACAATTTTCCTAAATTGACTTCCCAGTTTTTTTATAGTCACCCTAAATTTTAATTAAAAAAAAAGATTTATTTATTTATACATAGAAGAACTGGGGTACAGGCCAGAGGAGCAGGGAGTGGGGGGATTCAGCAGAGACAGAGCAGGGAGCAGAATAGGAGGATCCACTGAAATCCACTGCTGAGGGGAGCAGGGAAGGAGACAGGAGAGTTCTGCTGCACCATGTGGGTTAATGTGGCTGGATCAAACTCAGGCAGTGATCATGATAGCACTGAGACTTCACTCCTACACCACCAGGGAGTCCCTAATGTTTTGGGCCTTATCATACTTTGTCAATACTCAAGGCTCATTTATCTTTCCAATCTGTTATGTCCCCAAGTATCAGTAGAGAGAATCTATTTTTAAATAATATTTAAATTGATAATCAATATTCCTAAAATGTTCCTTTTGCCAACTAGCTTCCCATGTGACCAAATATAATTTTGGCAAATTTTTATTGGGAAAGAACACTATAGGAATGTCTTGTCAATTGCATACCAGTAAAGAACAGTCAGTGAATAAATTCTGCAATTATTTTTGGCCAGATGTCACATATATTACAGATTAATTAAGATCTATTTATATTTAACAAGTCTGTGTGTTCTTAGAGAAAAATATGAGCAAAAGTAGTTTTTGATATCTTGTTCTGTATCACGATTTTATGTGCTAGAGCTGCTTTATTGTTATAGAAACGTTAAATAATTTTAAAGATTAGAACCGTACATCTGTTAACCTCAGTGTAAGTCATATGGCATATGGAAACCAAGCTTCCAAAACCTACTTTTAAAGGGGGCCAATTGGTCATCCTTCAGGTCCTAAGTGAGGGCATGCCACAGGCTCCAGGCCACAGAGGCAAAGACATGGACCCCATCCCAACTGCCTCTGCAAGCCCCAAGCACCACCAGACCCCTTCTCATGGACTTGAGAGGGTGGGATGGTACATAGAGAACCAGAAGCTCAGAAAGGTAGGTTACAATGCCAAGAATAGTTACTTTGGAACTGATTTAACTTTAGGGGGAAGGAAGGGAAATATGGATAGGTCAGGTACCCACTGAAGAGAAGTGTCTTTGAGTAGGAATAGGAAACCCATAGTTTCTGGAACTGCTAGTCAGAAATCAGGCATGGGGTTAATCATGAACTTTGTTCTTTTGATAGTTACAGGCAGCTTACTCTGGGAAATCTTGCAAATTATATACTATTCCTTTCCGTCATCTTTGTGAGTATTAAGATTCCCTAGCTTGTTTTTCCCACTTCACCTTTTTCCATTTCCTCCCAAAATAGCTTTTAAGAATTGCCATCCTCCTCTTCAAAAGACCTTAAAATTTAGACTTGAAGTTGCTAGGTAATGTTTATGCAGTTCTAAGGCTCTCTCCTAAGTAATAGGGAAATAGTCATTTTTGGATAAAATATACCCAACCCTCAACTAGAAATAATAGAATATAGTTCTCGAAAGTGGAAACCCAGTTTGCAGCCAAGCAGGGGCAGAGGTTGGCTCTGGAACCCCTTCTGGGAGGTGCCACCTTCTCTTTTGGGTGATTTGGTGCTAGATGGGAGGAGGGTATTTGTTTAGAGCATTTGGAGAGACCTGGGCACGGGTGCACCAAGTTTCCTCTTTAACAGACTTTTCTGTGCCTACCCTGCACTATCTCAGGAGAAGAAGAAACTGACACCTCAACGGGGATTTAGTGAAAATGATGATGATGATGACGATGATGATGATGACTCATCTGAAACAGATTCTGATGATGATGATGATGATGAAGAGCATGGTGCCCCTCTGGAAGGGTGAGGAAAGCCCCCAAATCAACGGGGAAAATACCTGTTTCAGAATCCTGGGCTGATAGGACATCATTTCGAAGTGAAATTCCAGCATTTATTTGGATCTTGCTTATTTAGGATTTTCAGATATTTCAGAAGCCCAACAGGATGAGTTTTTATTTTCTGGCTCCACTATCTCATTGAATCCTGTGATGTCACTTGTATCTGAAACTTTTATCGGCTCAGAGAATTTACAAGGATTTGCTGAGTAAATCTAAAAGATGGGTTTCTGCCTTCGAGGAGCTCCCATTCTGGAAAAGAGAAAATTTATGTACATACCAAAGTATTTCTATTTTAACAGGAAAAAGACATGCATAGGGGCATTTCTGTTTTAAGCTCAGATCCTTTCTGGACAGGTCAAGGATAGGTGCAAAATGTTCCTGGATGAGGCTTAAAAACCTCACCCTGTCCCAGCCCTGGTGCCATGGTCATTAGTCATGATCATCCCTGTCAGTTCTAGTGACAGAAGGTTCGAAGGCCCATTAAATGAAGGATGGTGTATCCATTCAGTAGAGTCCTGTCTAGCGAGGAAAACTTATGAGGTATCACTTGATGCTCAAAGAGAAAAACAATTTCTTCTACATTCGATGTTTTTCTACTAACTCATGTCTTGGCTTTTCTGTTACTTTGTTCTTCAGCAACATTATCCCAGATAATGAGGGCTAATTAAATCAGTTTTAAAGTGCCACTCAGGTATGGACGCTGCAGGAACTAGTTCCAGAGTCGTGTCCTGTGGTTGGGACTCAGCCCCCTCTGTGCCTTCCAGCCACACTGAATCATGTTTCCCTTTTCTAGGGCCTATGATCCTGCAGATTATGACCATTTGCCAGTTTCTGCTGAGATTAAGGAACTCTTCCAGTATATCAATAGGTAAGTACTAAAAACTTCTGACCAGAATCCCACCAGCCATATCTTTCCCTTTCCTGCTTGTAGGCTGAAACAGGGGTATTCTCCTGAAATGTCAAATAAGTTTCTTTAATTGTCTCCACTTTCCCTTGGCAATATCATCTAGGTACACACCTCAGTTGATCGATCTGGACCACAAACTGAAACCTTTCATTCCTGATTTTATCCCAGCTGTTGGAGATATTGATGCATTCCTAAAGGTACACTCAGAGAATCCTAAATCCACTTCTTCAGGTGTTTCTTTGGACCTCTCATTTACTCTTAACAATTCCATGAATTTCCTTCAATAGCCCTGACAATACTGATATATGGTCTTCACTTCATTGGCATTCATAACCTTGCTCTCTAAACTATATTCATGGCTATTAAGTAATAGTTGATTATCGCATATATATTGAAATTTGTCATATACTTGTCTCCTAAAATATCCACAACTTCAACTTTATATTTAATGAAGATCCTAGACACCATGTCATTTTTTGGGTAGTATTTTAGTATATGCATGGTGTACAAGCAAGCTTAATATAATTGATAACGATGAACCAGAAGAGTTCTTCCTCTTCAGCTTATTAGAAACAAGTGTGGCCTTTTTATGTTCCTCCATTTTTTCTTTGCTTTTTTTTACCTTTCTTTTAACCAGGTCCCACGTCCTGATGGAAAACCTGACAACCTTGGCCTGTTGGTATTAGATGAACCTTCTACAAAACAGTCTGACCCTACTGTGCTCTCGCTCTGGTTAACAGAGAATTCCAAACAACACAACATCACAGTAAGATACTAGACCAGTACAGGCCTCAACTGAAGAAGGCTGAGTGGAGGCCTTGCTGGTATTTGTACAATTGACTATCAAAGGGATGGCTTAGTTTCACATCAGCCTTATTAATTAATTATTGATTTATGCACACAAGAACTGGCCAGAGACAGAGTGGGGAATATAACAGGCAGATAGACCAAAATACCCTGCTCAGGGGGGCAGCAGGCGACACAAGAGAGGTCTGCTGTGCCATGTGAATCAGCTCCCTGGCTGGGGTTTGAACTCATGCTGCAGTGACTGCAGACAGCCTCATAGTATTGTGCTGTAACCGCTTGCATCACCAGGGAGGCCCCTAGCCTACTTTTTAAAATAATCGTTTTAAACTGTACAATTTAGTGATTTTTATTATAATAGTTTACAAAGGTGTCCAACCATCACCACTGTCTAGTTTAAAAACATTTTCAGGGCCTCCCCTGGTGGCACAAGGGTTAAAGTCTATACTATCAGGCAAGCGATAGCTATGCAGTGTGAGTTCCATCCTCAGCCAGCTGACCCCCATCGTGCAGCAGACAGCTCCTGTCTTACCTGCTGCTCCTCTCAACAGTGTATTTCAATAGCTCTACCTGTTCTGTTCTCCACTTTGTCTCTGGTGAATTCTCTCATTCCTTGTGCCTCTGGCCTGTAGAGCAGTTCTTGTATGCATAAATAAATAAAAGTAAATCTTTCTTTTTAAAGAGCATGCAGAACTGGGGTATAGGCCAGAGGTGTAAGGGCAGTGAGTGGATTCACCAGAGACAGAGTGGGGAGCAAAATAGGCAGACTGACAAAGTACACTGCTGAGGGGAGCAGCGGGTGAGACAGGGAAGGTCTGCCACTCCATGTGGGTCACCTCCCTAGCCTGGGATCGAATTCCTGTGGAAGCCGCTGTGGCTAGCTTCATAGTGCTGTGCTTTAATCAGTTGTGCCACCAGGGAGGGCCCTCCCTCCTCCCTTTTTTTAAATGACTGAATACTGAATGGTTTGAATGTACCACATTTTGCTTATCAATTCACCAGTTTCCCCCTTTATTAATTATGCATATTCATGTACAAGTTTTTTACATGGACAAATATTGTTATTTCTCTTGGCTATAATATGTAGGAGGGGGATGCTGGTCCATATGGTAACTGACATTTTAAGGAACTGCCAAACTGTTTCCCAACATAACTAAACCATTATATAGTCCTACCAGCTGTGAATGAGAGTTCAATTTCTCTCCCCCATCCTCACTTATATTGTTGGTCCTTTTTATTATCTGCATCCCAGTAGGCATGAATTGGTCTCTGACTATGTTCATTTCTATCCTGTTGACCTGCCTCCATCCTATGGTTCCAGGAAATTTCATCAGGATGGCCTATAATCTTCATTTGGCTGCTGTCAGGCTTATCTTTTAATCATGTATCTTGTATATGAAGTAGCAGCAATGTGATTCCTGAAAAACAATACAGTTACTTCAGTGTCATCAGCCAGGCTTTCCCCTTATTTGACTAGCAACATATGAAAGTAAAGAGCCTGGAAGATGCAGAAAAGAATCCCAAAGCCATCGACACATGGATTGAGAGCATCTCTGAGTTACACCGTTCTAAGCCTCCAGCAACTGTGCACTATACGAGGTAAGAGATCCAATCATTTTTCACCCTACAAGTCCACGGTAACGTTCACCACCATTGCTTCTGAGAAGAGAACCCAAATGTGGGGATGTACTTGATCACTCTGATGTACTGTGAGCTCTGGCAGCTACCGGCTGAGAGTGCAAACATAAAACTTGTCATTTACCTGGCATCATTACTTATCGGCTCCTCTGAACCCATCTCTGAGTAAGTTTGGGTTGCCCAGCCTCGCTTCCCGGAACCCTAATGTGCCAGGTTGAGGACCTCCTTTTACCCTAGAATACCCTGGCCAGCAGTTTGCTGAGCATCAGCCCCTATTTCTCCTCATGTTTACCTCTGTACTTGCAGGCCCATGCCTGATATTGACACACTGATGCAAGAATGGTCTCCAGAATTTGAAGAGCTTTTGGGCAAGGTGGGTAGGCAATAGCAAGAGCTAAGAAAGTATGACATATCACTCTTTAAGTCCCAGTGTTTTTTCTCTTCCTACATTTGATTAATTTTTAATTGAAGTATAATGTACAGTCAGATATTTACACATACCATATGTTAATTTCCACCAACTGAATGTGTATAAATAGCACATCATATCAGGAAAAAATAACATACTAGTATCCTGGAAGTCCTGATAGGCACCTAGCTTTAAAGATAACCACTATCCCGACTATTTTTTCCTTTCTTACATCCTTCTTTATTTTTGTACAATAATTGGCTTCAAGTGAAATTAAATAAGAAATGTAAAAGTTATCTAGGTATTGTTTGAAAAATAAGAGAAATATTTAATATTGTTAGGATGGTTAGGTATTTTTCAGTATAATAAGAAACTTGAAGGCCGGCTGTACCCCTCAGCAGTGTATTTTAGCCAACCTGCTTGTTCTGCTCTCAGTCACTGGTGAATCCTTTCATTCCCTGCACCACTACCCCAGTTCTTCTATGCAAAAATTAAAATCCTTGGGCCCTCCCTGCTGGCGCAGTGTGTTAAAGCACAGCACTGAGAATCTAAAGCCGCTTCCGCATGAGTTCGATTCCCGCCTGCCCCGGAGGTGACCACATGGTGTGGCAGACTTCTCCTGACCCACCTGCTGCTCCCGTTAGCAGTGTACTTCGTCGATCTGCCTGTTCTGTTCCCCACTCTGTCTCTGGTGAAGCCTCTCACCCTCCGCATCTCTGGCCTGTACCCCAGTTCTGTATGAATAAATAAATAAATCTTAATAAAATAAATAAATAAAAATAAAATAAATAAAAAATAATCACTAATTTCCATAATCAAAGTTAAGAGTGGTAGACCAAAAAAAATAACATATCTACATATGCACACATAATCCAGGCACAGACTGCTACAAAGCAAGAAAAGAAAACTGAGCAAAGATGATTAACAGGTCCTTCCTGGCCATATTTAAAATCGCCAGCCCAGCCCCCCTCCCACCTTTTCCCTATCCTCTTTCCTTGCTTTTTCTCTGTAATACTTATCTTCTTACATACTACTTTATCATATTGGTTTTTTTCTCCTCTCCCTATTAAAAATACAGATTCTTTATATGAAGAGTTGTTTGTACATGTTCAGTGAGGATTTGTAGTAGCAAAGAATTTGAAAACAATCTCTTTCCTCACAGCATTTTGAAGCTGCAGCTGAGGAAAAATACCTGATTAGGGAATTGAATAGATAATCTGTAACACATTCATTCAGGGAAATGCTGCAAAATCCAGTATTACTTGCCCTTTGCTTTGGAGACATGATGATGATATCATGTTAAATAAAGAAAAGCAAATTGCAAAATCATATGAACTCTGGTTTTTGTAAAAAGAAAATAACTTTAAGATGCCTGCAGTTTTAAATTTGTTTAGCTCTCCAGCCTATCATCTATGATACATCTATTTTTTTCTGTTCCTGTAGTCCCAGGACTATAAGGCACTGTAACACCGAGTAACTGTAAATATGTGGCCATAGCTGGGGCCAGTTTCTTCACAAATACACACAGGGATACAGCATGGAATTATATTTTACTCATAAAGTATTTTGGTCTTGTTAGATCTTCCACTAGTGTTTTATGAGTATGACCAGTTTTGGTAGTTAATGAGTATGAGCACCTCCACATTACTGATCAGAGAAGGAAAAAAAAAAAAAAAGCATGCTGTATATTTACTGGGACTGCCATAACTAAGTACCATAGACTGGGCAACTTAAACTGCAGGATTTATTTTCTCAGTTTTGGAGACTAGAAAACAGATCAAGTGATTGACAGTTACCTTCTTCCAAGGCCTTTCTGGTTGACCACTTTCTCCCTGTGTCTTCACATGGTCTCCCTTTGTGCCCGTCTTACTGGATCAGGACTCACCTTAATCACTTCACTTTAACTTAATTATCTCTTTGAGGCTGTCTCCAAATACAGTCACATTCTGGGGTATTCTGGTTTAGCATTTCAGCACATGAATTAGGGGGGACACAATTTAATCCCTAAGGGGCTTTATGCTAGGAGCTCTTTTCCTTTAGAGTGAGAGTGGTCCGAGAGCACTTCAAAGTTCAGCCTTTTGACTTTGGCCTATCCCATGCCCCTCCCAGGTGAGCCTGCCCACAGCAGAGATTGATTGCAGCCTGGCAGAGTACATTGACATGATCTGTGGTGAGTGCTTCCATCCCTTCCTGGCCCCTGTCTCTGGGTAAAAGCATGTTTACTCTAGGATGATAGCATTTTGAGTCACAGCCATCACTTATAGTGAACTATGCTAAGATGACATTTGGGGATGCTGGGTACTTAACCCCCAAAGTCACGGTAATGCATCCAGGAGAAATGGTTGTCCTAAATGGAAATGCCAAAACCCCCAGGGTTTTAATTCCACTCATGGCTGTTCTTCCTTTTAGCCATCCTGGACATCCCTGTCTATAAAAGCCGGATTCAGTCTCTCCACCTGCTCTTTTCCCTCTACTCAGAATTCAAAAACTCACAGGTAAGACTAGCACCAGAGGTTGACTTGAGCTGGAGTGAGGATCCCTGTGTCCCACTGTCCTGAGCCTGCAGGGACTGTGTCCATGACAGTGGAGGATGTCTCTGCCCAGTTACCTGTCCCCATAATAAGAGAGCAGCAGAGCAGGCAGGGTAGGCCTTTCAAAGGAAGGGAACAGAAAAATTGTGGGTCTTAGCGAGGCTTGGTAAGGATCTCAGAGGAGACTTATTCTTACAGAACCCAGTGCTCAGTGAATAGAAGCAGGAAAAAGGATGTAAAAAAGGGTTTGTTTGTTTTTTTTTTTTTTTAACAAAGTGGGGCAAATATCTAGCTATTTTCCTAAAATAACACCAATGAATTGTTGGGGAAGTAGGATTAGAGAGTAAAGGAAGGAAAGGCAGTTGGTTCTTGCTAAAAGTAGCAACTGGCGTATCCTAAATACTCTGTTCCCTTTCTTTCCTCACAGCATTTTAAAGCTCTAGCTGAAGGCAAGAAAGCATTTACTCCTCCATCCAATTCCACCTCCCAAGCTGGAGATGCAGAGACATTAACCTTCAGTTGAGACTCCTCCTTGGTCACACGGTTTTAAGGCTGAGCTGGCTTCTCTACTCCAGCTAAAGATAGCCAGTGCCACAGTGACTCAGGGACATGCATGTCCTGCAAACCTCTCCACCAGTCTGTTGCTACATGGCTCAGATTTGCTCCCCTATGCAGTAATGTATTACTGGGATTTGGGATAGAGGAATTCGAATTTTGGGGATCTCTGGATGTTCAAGATGGAAGGAAAGCTTAATAGATGATCTCATTGATAGTAGTAATGGAATTCTTTTCCTTTGTTCTTAAACTTAGTTGCCAAGATTTTACAAATAAAATACTCTTTCTAGTTATCCTGCTGTTCTGTGATATAAAAGACAAAAGCTGATTGAGCATGAGATAGAGATAAGGAACTTAGCTTAGTAACAGGCTTAAGTGGATAGAAGTTTAAGCAAATCAGTGCCGCAAAGTCAATCAAACCCCTGTCCTCCAAGGTTGGCAGCAGAAGGAACCCCTTTTCTCTCAGAACCTAATTTTTGTAGGGTTCTGTCATTTGTCAGTGCTGCCTCCTTTATGGATTACCTGCCTGCCTAGCTCTAGACCTGCCTATTATAGAGAAATGGTTAGATCATTGTACGTGGAAAGTTAACAAACAACCTGCCTGTTTTGGGAGGTTAAAGCTTAACCAGTAGGTGACTGAAGTGTATTAAAAATCAATTTTTTTTTCCCCAGAGAAAGAGAACTGTCATGTAAGAGGCTTTAGTAATGCTTGAAAATTCCATGGTCCTTAGATCAAAAAGATTTCAGAACACTAGATCAAGGGTGCTCCCCCAATTTTATTATGAAAATTGTCAAAAGAATTTTAGAAAACTATCCAGTGAATTCTATATACCTACCACCTAAATTCTACAATTACTATTTCGCTGAATTTGCAAATATCCATTCCTTTGTGCTATCATTAATTTATTTTATTTTTTGATAAATTTCAAAGCATGTTGCACTTAACCCCTAAACACTTCAGCATGCATATAATTTCCTGGCATTTAATATTTATTCATGGTCCTTTAGTCAGACAAAATTTATAGAATGAAATGAACAAATTAGTTTTTTTTTTAAACTAGGTTTATTGAACTATACTTTATGTGTCATGAATTATCTATTGCAAATTATATAATTCAGTGGTTTTTGGTGCACAGAGTTGTACACTGATCACTACTTATTCCAGAACATTTTCATTACCCCCAAAAGAAACTCCATATCCATTAGCAGTCATTCACCATTTGCCTCTCCCTGGTCCCTGACAATGCCTACCTAAACCTACTGTCTGTAGACTTTCCTATTCAGGGCATTTGCTTATTCATCATATAAATGGAGTCATACATGTCTTGGGTTTAGCTTCTCTCAGTGTGTTTTTAAGTTTCATCCACGTTGTAATTCAATAATCCAGCCTTCAGCAAACACTAAGGTGGGAGGCTGCCAGGAGGAGCAGACCATCCTGCTACAGTAAGACCTTGAGTGCACCTGAGGAGTGTAGGGTTTGTAGTCTGGCCGAAAGACCACCAAGGAAGGGACTCATGCTTAGGGGGACTGGGCAAGAACCAATAGAAAGGACAGCAAGGCGCCCTGGCTCCTTAAAGGTCTGAGGCCTTGCAGGAGCTTGCATACAAGAGGCTGGGACCCAGGCCCTTCTAGGAGGCTGAGGCAGCCTTAGCCACTTCTATGGAGAAAAATGTTCAAGACAGAGGTGAGGAGAGGAAAGCTCAGACCTACACAAACTAAGCCAAACTGTTATTTTAAAAAATATGGAATATAAATCTATCTTCAAAAACAACCTTTTCTAGTCTTTTTTTTTCCCCTCTCATAACACCTCAGAAAAGTTTTTGGGGGTCTCCCTGGTGGCCTAGAGGTTAAATCTCAGTGCTACCATTGCGAGGCCCATTGCAAAGGCCTAAGTTTGATCCCCAGCCAGAGACCTGACCCCTATATGATGCAATAAACCTCGCCTGTCTCCCCACACTGCTCCCCGTGCAGTGTTATTTCAGCAAACCCATCTGCTCTGCTCCCCACTCTGATTCTGGTGAAACCTTTCACCTCTGGCCTACACCCCAGTTCTTATACACAAGAACAATCCTTGGGAGGAAAAAAGCATAAATAGAAGGAGAAAACTTATTAAAAGAAAAAAACCTTTGTTTGAAACAGTTTAGTCTGAGCCTTCTGTACCCTACTCAGGAGAAAGGGTCAAGGTGGCTTAGTCCTGAGAGGGGAAGAGTATGCCAAGTGATATAGACAAGTGAGGACTAATATGGCTCTGACCGCCTGCCGCTGCCCCAGGCCCTCCAGAAACAGAAACTGTCAGCCCTACCATTGGGAGCTGTGTCATGAAATAATATTAAAATAAGAGATCAGAAACAAACAGGGTAGAATGTTCAGTTTAGCAGCATTGGCTGGTGGGTATACAGGTGTTTATTCTATTTTCTGTGTCATTTAAAGATTTCATTTTAAAAACATATAAAGGAAAAAATGGACATGTAACATTTACCCATTCGAGTTTATTTGATTTACTATGTGCTCAGTGCTGTCCTAAGCAGTAACAGAACTTGAGAAAAATTATAAAGTTGTCAACAAGGGAAAAATATACTCTGTGCTATATTAATTTCTAGTCATTTCCATGTTGCTTTTTAACGTGTTTTAGGTTGTTTTGGTCTCCCCCTTTCTCCATCTCCCCAAAAGCTTCTGGCACTGTTAGGTGCCACTATGAGCATCCTCCACAGAACAGAGAGGTGGGGTAGTTAGGGTTGGTGGAAGCTGGGCTCCTGTGGTGGGAAAACATATTGGAAAGGGAAACGGTCAGCCCTGAAGGCTCAGCCCTGTCACAGTGAGTGTCAGGAAGGCCAGACTTGGGGAAGCCAAGGGGCTCTGCGGCCCGTGCTCACCCCTCCCCAGAGAATATGCTGAAAGTGCTAACAGTGTAAGGAAAAGGTGCATAGCTACATGCTGTCCTGGATGCCACCAGACTTCTCATCTCACTATTTGCCTCCCAACTTGTGCTAATATCAGGCATTGGCACCATTAGGTACCAAGCCAATGGGGGAGTCCAGTGCCCAGGGAAAAAGTCCAGTATATAAACCATGATGTCCAAGGGGTGTTAGGGACCTAGGGGGCAGAGAGATATACAGCAAGAGGGAGAGTCTGTGGTTGGCCAATGCCCCTGGGCCAGGGGTTGGTTTCTGTGCAAAGGGCAGTTTGGTTCTCTACAGTTAGCAGGGTCCTTAATTTTCCCTGAGGGAACAAAGCTGCATAGCAAAGGAAGGCAATCCAAGAAGTGCAGGGCCCTCCCTGTCCCCAGTCAGGCGTGTCCCTATGCCTGCTGTACAAGGTGCTTAGATAACAGACAGTATGGGGCAAGAGCAAGCCATGCCACCAGGGCCATGCCACCTCAGCTGCTGGGTGGCCACCAAATACACCTGGCCAAAGCGCTCTATCTGGTCACAGCCTCGCATGCAGGCTCCCAACCTGAGTTAGAATGAGGGCCTTAATTAGGTGCAGCTGGCAGCCTGCCAAGGATCCTTGTGCCCCTGAGGGTCAGATCCCAGTGGAATGCATCATGTAGCTGACAGAGCACCCTGGCCAGGAGGGCAAGCAGAAGTGGCAGTGGCAATGTGGCCAGGCAGAGGATGCCTTAGAGAAGGAGGAGGGGCCAAGAAGACACCTTCCATCTTGCCCTCAGCTTAGAGCCAGATCTCATCGCTGCTCACACTGGACACTCGATAGATGTACCCCAGCATGGGGAGACGGATGAAGCCTGCAGGATCAGACACCCAAGAGTCTCAGGAACCCTCATTCCTTGGAAGTTGGGAGGTCCCTTATAGCCCCTTGGGGACTCAGAAGCCTGAGAACAGGACTGGGGAACAGAGGAGGGTGACAGCCTTTGCCAGTACCTCGGCTGGTGAGGAGGCCGCCGGGCTCTGGGTCCAGAAGCTCGGGCCGGCTGTTGTTGCGAGCCATCTGCGTGTCTGCTGGTTTCCCTGCTAGGGGCCAAAAGGGTGGTGTCCAGGGATGGGGAGGAAGCCTGAGCTGCCTGCCCCCTCTGAAGTACCAGGGTTTCACTTTTTCTCAGAAGCACCGCTAAGAAAAGGAGAGTCAAACAGAGAGTCCCGGATATACCTCTGAGATCTGAAGTGAGGTCGTTGAGCTGCAGGTTGGACGGGAGGGACATGTTCTCCCGTGGCAGGCGCACATTGTTGAGTTTCAGGTTGTTGGAGTCACTACAGGGCAACAAAGCCTGGCTCCATCCAGCAGACACAGACTTGGGCCATCCCAGACTACTGGAAGCCCCAAGTTTCCACCTGTTCCCATGCTGCACCTTGGTTCAGCCCCATCCATTGAGCCCCAGGAAGAATTACCTAGAGATCAGAGATGGACGCCGGGAGGGGCCTGGGGAGAAAAACCACACCGCTGTTCTCAGTGTGCCCAGCCTCTCTGGGGCCTGTCCCTGTCCTTTCAGAGCCAGAACCCTCAGCCCAGGAGCTCTCAAATGCCTGGCCTGGCCCTGGGGCTGGGTTCCCAGCGCCTCTGCTACCTGAGAGACATGATGTAGCCCCAAACCTGGAAGACCTGTTCTTCCACTTGTCAGAGATGACTTGTTCAGCCCAGCTCACTGCCCTGCTGCTCACCCATACTCACTGCCCCCGCTCCCCCATCTCCTAAGACTCTGGCCCTACCTACCTTTGGTCTTCTTCTCTTTTCTGCACACCAGACAGGCCACCAAGGTGCTGAATCCCACCAGGGTGCCCAGGGCGAGCCCTCCAGCCACCACGATGCCCAAGAGTGGCACTTCCACCCGAGTGGCCAGGAGTCCTGCAGGTTGTCCTCTGGTTAGGTTCCAAATGGGCAGTGTCCCCAACCACAAGCACTTTTCTGTCCTTGCCCAGGGTGCAGGGGATCCTTGTTCACAAGACTCACCCAAAGGGCAACGGGCCCTCCCATTTCTACATAGTGACCCCTGCCCACCTGAATCTTTGCTTGGGCCAGTTACTGGCGGTGCTCACCTGGGGCTGGAAGTGAGGCACTTGTGACACCCACGTCATTGGAGGCCACCACGGAGAGGTTGTGTGCCAGGCTGCGGAGCTGCAGCTGTACGGTGTGGTTGGTAAGCCAGGGGTAATTCTGGGCATCCAACACCAGGAAATCGGAGGCGTTGACAGTCACTGGCCCATCCTGGTCAATCCAGGTGACATTGGCTGGCGGGTTGGCACGCACCAGTGCAAAAAGGACAACCAGGAGGCCTGGGCCCTGAGATTCCAGGTACTTGGTGCCAACCTGGGCAATCTCCGGCTTAACTGTTACAAAGCAGAGGCCAATACATGCTCACCAGAAGCTCTCGTGTTCCTTAAGTCTTTCTTTCCAAACCTGGAAGGGAGCCAGGAACCCAGACCTCCCACGGGGCACTGGGAAACAGGCTGGCTGCGTTGCCAGAGGCAGAATTTCATAGTTATTAAGAGTATAAACACTTCCCTATTCATTTATAATTTTCTTGAGCAAAGGGGCTATGATGCACTGTTGTATTACAACAGCAAGAAACCATCCACCGAAGAGTGTCTCTGGAAATGTATAATTGAAATAAAGAATTAATGAATGCTAGACCAAAACAAAAGCTAACTACCTGAGGCAAAATACTTGGATTTGAATCTGACTCTGCTACTTACCAGCTGTATGTATGAATGACTCCAGGGAGATTGCTTAAACCATGCCTCAGTTTTCTCATTTGTAAAGGGGTTAATAATAGTCATGATTATTAGGATTACTATGAGAATAGCGAGTTCATGTTTGCAAAGTGCCTAAGTGTTTGTTAAATATCCAGTCAAACCACCTGCCCGGTGACTGCTTGGGGCCCCTGTGCAGGGAACCTCTCCACCTGCCCATCCCAGGGTACTCACACTGAACATTGAGGATGACAGAGGCATTGGCTGACCGGTCACTGCCTGAGTCCTGCATGGAGCAGTTGAGCTCATGCTGGGCCCGCTGTGCAGTGACAGTGAAGGTGCTGGTTCTTCCTGAGAAGGCATCTCCACCCACACTCAGCAACCTGGAGGTGCTGGCCTCCTGCAGTTGTCCATCCAGGTACCAGGCCAGTCGGGGGCTGCCAGGCCCCCCTGCCACCCGGCAAGTGAAGGCGTGGCGTTCATTCTCCCGAAGTGCACGCTCAGCCCAAGTCTGACCATCAATTTGTGGAGCCAACTCCCCACAACCTGGAACACAGCAGGGGGTTCTGGGGAGGTCCTGGGGCGGGTCTGTACTGTTCTGTGACCAGGATGATGTCCACTTACAAAGGCAGCTGGCCAAGTGACAGGAGCCCTGGGTTCTCTAAGGACTGGCTAGACCTTCCGTAGGCAAGCAAGGGAAACCCAGTTCTGGTGCATGGGGTCTAAAGTGGGTATTCAGATGTAGGAAGGAGGGGAGAGAGGGTGAGGACCCCAGAAATGCTTGGCTAAGGGATGAACAGGGGTGTACCTGAGCTCAGAAGGGTTAGCAGGAGCAGCAGTGTATGCGGCAGGGTAGCTGGGCCTGGAGGCAGTGCCATAGCTACCCCAAGCCTGTGGCCTAGGCTGCGAGAGAAGGGTGTTAGCCAGGTGAGAAGAAGCACACCTAGTAATTTTTCCAGGGGGTTACTCTCCAGAAACACAAAGAATGACGCACAGAACACAGATGTAAGCTGACCAATAGCGTCAAGATGTAAACGGCCAAACCCAAAGACCAAACCCACCCTGCACGTACCTGCACCCTTAGGGCGCAAACTCAAGGATGCCCGCAAGGGACAGAGGCTCATACCCGTAGCCGGTAACCCGCAACCCCGAGACCAGCGGCGGCGCAACCGCACCACACACGGCCGGTCACACGGGCACGGACACACACCTGAGATGCTCGGGTGCACGCGCCCCCTCCCCAAAGGGCCCGTTCTTTCCCCGACCTGTCTCTCTCTTGCCCCAAGACCCTCCCGTCTCTCGCCCAACGCCCGTCTGCTCGCTCCGGCCAAGAAGGGCCAGGACGCCGGGGCACCCCGCCCCGCCTCCGGGGAGGCTCACCTGGCTTCCTCAGCGAGCGCAGCCAGCGCAGCTGCTCAGGTCTGATGAGCACTGCAGTCTGCCGCGGGGGCGGGGCTGCGCCAGACCGGGCCAATCGACGACCGATTGGCGGCTCCGGGCCTGGCCCCAGGGCCCGGTGGGCGGCGGCGACCTCACCCACCCCCCAGGTCGTGGCGGGGAGGCGCGCGCAGGGCCCGGGGAGTGCGCCTGCTGCCCCCCCGCCCCCGCCTGCTGGGACGGCGCCGCACGCAGACACAGGCGCGAGGGGTGTCAGGCCGAGCATCTTTATTGGTCCGGGAACCCCGGTCGCCCGCCGCCCGCTCAGCGCCCGTTGCTGGGGCTGCGCAGCTGCCCCATCATGTCGGCCAGCATGCGGTTGCACAGCGCGGCGTACGGGTTGAGCAGCACCAGCTGGCGCCGCGCGAAGGGGCTGCCCAGCCGCGCCGCCTGCTCAAAGTCCCTGCGGGCGTCGTCGTCCCGGCCTTGCAGCCGCGCCAAGAGCCCGCGCTGCACGAAGCCCTGGCGGGCGGCGCGGCCCCGGCCGCCGCTCAGCCTCAGCGCGAGCTCCAGATCCTCCAGGGCGCCTGCGGGACGGGAGGGCGGGCGGGTCAGCGCCGAGGCCCGTGCGGGCCGGCGCGGAGTCGGGCTCAGAATTGTGGCTGTGGGGCTGGGGCACTTGCGCCCCCCCGCCCCTGGCCCTGGGGGCTTCGCACGACTTGGGCCAGACTGGGAAGATTGACCAAGCGGCCCGGCCGCGCTGCTGCTCGCGTCCACGTCTGTCTTTTTTGTCATTTTCCATTGTCTAGAACTCCAAAACACGGAGATGCTGGGGGGATTTTGAATGGTCACCGTGTTCATGAATCGCTCATTTTGCAGCTTATGTTATGAAATAGCTACCGTATTCCAACTCTGAATCACAGAGTGAAAAAAATTATATTGAATGGACAGGTATTTCTCCCCAATACAATAAAGTTTATTTCTCTTCATCCTGAAAGCTTTTCTCTCCTTTTGCCTTGCATGCAGCTTCTCACCTGTTTTCTCTTCTGACTGCCTTGTTTGTGGCCACAATCTTTGTTATTTTGTATGTTGGTTTTTCAAAAAAGGAAATCTGGAACCAGAGCTGACCTGCACCATTTTATTTTTTAGCATCTTCATAAAATAACTGGGTTGTGCATCAGAATTCTGACCTCAACCTCAGGCAGCCATCTGCTGAAGAGTCTTACCAGCTGCATTATCTTCTGAAAGCTCAATTCACTCAAGTCCTCTAGTTTCTACAGAGCTTTTTGGCACACCTGGAGCACTCCAGCATCATCCCTGAGCAAGGTTTAGCTTACCTGTCATGCTTTAGTGTGTATGATTCTCAGAACCCAGCATCGTTTATGCCCCTGTCCCAGCCAGCAACTGAGAAGCAATTTGATCTCTGTGTTCCTTGGCTTCCCCCAGATGAGCTAACCACGGGTCTGGAGGAATCCAAGCCCTCTCCTGGTGGAATCACCTCTGCCCCTCCCTTATTGGTAGTGGCTTTGATGACCCTCCAAGTGGCAAACAAGGGGCTTTTGGGGTACCTCATTCTTTCCAGAAGGGAGTGCAGACTTCCCAGCCTGGCTCCAGAGCGACACTGCTATCACTACTAACTGTCTAGTGGTTCCCTGCTTGGCTTCTGTAGTTTACACCTTTGCACCAGCCTACTGTCTGGCTCCATGGGTGGCCCTTATGTCCCATGGTTCCCATTCTAGCCAGAGCAGCCTGATTGTAGCAGGTCGCAGTTACTAAGTTAAAACCCTTTAATGGGACCCTCCCTGGTGGCTCAGTGATTCAAAGCACAGCACCATGAAGCTGTTGCAGCCACTGCAGTAGTTTGATCCCCAGCCTGGGGTGACCCACAATGCTCAGCAGACCTCTCTTGTCCCTCTGCCTGCTGCTCCCTCAGCAATGTATTTAAGTCCATCTCCCTATTCTGCTCCCCACTCTGTCTCTGATGAATCCTCTCACCCCACCCCCACCTCTGGCCTGTACTCCAGCTTTGTACTTATAAATAAGTAAATCTCAGCCGCACATTCCCATCTGCAGCTATCTCTGTTTCTCCAGGCACTCCCCCATCCTTCTCTCATTCCCTCCCCCAGCCAGCCTGTTTATCTGACTTTCCCTTCTCCTTTAAGCCTTCTGAATCTCTACAGTCTGCTTTCTCCCACTCCCTCTCCTTCCATCTAACTCCTACTTAACCCTTCAGTGCCTATTTACCCTTAAAGACCCACTCCTCAGCAACAGATCCCATGCTGAAACTTCTCAAACTTGCTGTGCTAGTGTAAGATTGAGTCCGTCCTATCCTCTAGACCTTGAGTTTCTTGAAAAGCAATATTATGTGGGGATTAAGAGCATTCACTTCATTCAAATCCCAGTTCTGCCACTTCTTAACCATCAGAGTAGCAAATTACTTAACCTCCATCCTTCATTAGTAAAATGGAGATTAACAGCACATGCCCTGTAGGCTTGAAGTTGTCAGGATTAAATAAGCTACTATAATTTACACGTGAAGTGGTCAGTGCCAGGCACACAGTAGTTGGTGTAAAGTATTATTTTTATGTTCATAGTACCTACCCCACTGGTTATTAAATAAATAAACTGAATGCAGTCTATTCCAACTTTCTCAATAGTCTCAAGAATTAACAGGACACATACTATATCATTTGTAGGCAAGAACACAGGTTCCAGAGGGTTTGTCCTCGCCCCATCATCACTTTATCCCTGGCCTGTGCATACAGGGCCCGTGGGCTCTACTCTCACCTGCCACGTCTCCCTGGAGTCTTCGGGCCTGTGCTCGGTTGTTGTAGGCTGAGGCCCGCTCAGGCAGCAGGTTAATGGCTTGGCCAAACCTCTCCAGGGCTGTAGCAAAGTCCCCGGCCTCTGCAGCCCTCACCCCCTGCAGTTCCAGGGCCTTAGACTGCTCCAGCAGTGCTTGAGGGAATACTCCATCTGTGCCAGGGAGAGAGCAGAAGGGACAGATGTCCTGAGGGGATTAAAAAGCAAAGGTCAACCTCATGCTGCAGGCTCTAGAAATCTGGGAACTGGGTCCTCCCAGGTGGTTCCACTTACGTAGCACTGCAAGCTGGCCACAGCCACTTTAGTGCCCAACCCCGCCCCGGAGGTGACCACATGGCAGTGCGGCAGACCTTGCCTGACCCACCTGCTGCTCCCCGCAGCAGTGTACTTTGATAATCTGCCTGGTCTGCTGTCTGCTTTGTCTCTGGTGAATCCTCTCACCGCCCCTGCACCTCTGGTCTGGCCTGTACCCCAGTCCTATATGCATAAATAAATCTTTTTAAAAAAAATTGGGACCTGAGCCAAAGCTGATCTAGGTGGGGTGTAGCTAACAGCAGGAATGGGATGGAATGTTTAGGGTAGGGGGAACTGAAGTCACAAGGTTGAACTAGCACTAAGTTTCAAAGGAACCTGGGACAGGGACCTTTCTTGCCTTCCCATTGCCAAGAAAATTAAAGATAGCCTGTAACTGGCTCGTTCAAGGTTACATGGCTCATAAATTGCACACCTTGGATTTGAACCCCAGGCTTTGACTTCTCAACTTGTCCCCACTTTGTCTATACCGCCTCCAAACTGAAGGCTCATGTGATACACCCAAGTAGTGGAAATCATCCCCAAGGTAGAATTCAGCTTTTCAGTCTGAATTTCAGTAAGGCTTAGGTTTCATTCCTTTAGAAACAAAGGGCATCAAAAACTGCTGATGGAGACATTAGACTATGGGAAAAGTCAGGGAGTGCACTTAAACTGGGAAGAATTAGCTCCGCCTTGGCTTGAGATGGTATGTGATGGTATGTAGTACCAAGTGCGTGCTTAGGTTCTGCATGCTTGGATGGGGGCTGCCCCATGTCTGCCCTCCACTTTGTGTAGGACTATAAACTCTTACGTGAGCTCAAATATCCCCACAACAGAGTTAAGCTTGGATCATGGGGTGAATTAAGCTGTAAGGTTAAGTTCAGAGTTTCACAGGCTGAAGGATGAATAAATCCTACCTTTCCTTTTAAGAGTGGCTCAGCCAGCCTTAGTACTTAGATTCCAATCTCAGTCACATCACAGGGTGGTAGAACAGAAGGCCTTGCAAAACCTCCTCCCAGTCACCCCTTGGGAAGCCAACAGACCAGCCAGTGTGGAGAGCTCCCCTCCAAAGTACTCACCTTCATCTACTTCCTTCCCAGCTTCTTCTCCCAGTTCTACATCAATGACATCGCCAAATGGGGTGTCAGGGTTGAAGATGGCCTGCAACACAGCCTGATCATTTGGGGTCCCCATAGTGCGCAACTACAAAATCTGAAAAGATGACTCAGGAGAAAGAGGGATGGGGGCTCTATCAGGCCCCAGCAGATGTAGAGGGAGGTTCTGTTTAAGAACCACCCCTCATAAGGTGTGTCTTTCATTCTTTGGCCAGAGTGTAAGCTCAACCTCCTTTGGCCCATGGTTAGTGACTGGCTTAGTAGAATATTTACAAATATTTCTCAACCACCTCCCCACCCCCACCCAAGTTCTAGGAGAAACAATAAATAATGCCAACTTTAGCCTTAAGGTAGAGTGCAGCAGTCAGGGAGCTGTCCAGGTTCTTCCTGAGGTGCTTTTATTTTAAATTTATTTACTTTATACAAGCAAGAACTGGTGTAGGCCAGAGGTGTGGTGGGGGTGGGGGTTGGGGGTGGAGGAGATTCATCAGAGACAGTGTCTTTGTCTTTGTGAAGGTACTTTGTGGTCAGTCACAGGCCACGCCCCTCCCCCTGGTTCTTCAGCCCAGCCAAAGTCAAGAGAAAGCTCACTCACTTGCAGAACAGGCAGATCTACTGAAAAACAGAGGGGAGCAGCTGGTGAGACAGGAGAGGTCTGCTGTGCCATGTGGCTCAGCTCCGTGGTCAGGTGGTTGTGGATAGCTTCAGAGTGCTGAGACTTAACCGCTTGTGCCACCAGGGGGGCCGGCTTTCATTTTATTTTATTCATAGACTGGGAGAAAATCCTTAAGCTATTGCTTGACTGCCCATGGACAAAGGGGAAGAAATGTAGGAGATAAAAAGACTATTCTTTTGTCTCTTTGACGCCTTCACATCCAGAATTAAGTTCTGAACACGCCATTGGTGAGAAAACATAGTTAAAAGAACCAATATGGAGTGAGACACAAAGGTAGGCAATGGAGAGTGATTTAGTGATTCCACCTTAAAAGGTAGTGGAGGATACTTCAATTTTTCAGAATCAAGGTAGCACTGGTTTACAACACTGTATGATTTAGGGGCACAGGTCCACACCTCTTCAGATGTTACCACACTACTCCCACCACCCAAGCACTGATAACCCCCTGCTGTGGTCTCTGAGCCCCAGTCCCTCTGGGGCCTCCCTCCGCCAGTCCCCATTCTCCCCTCCCTAGCCTCAGTTATGCAGTTGGATTCCTGTGGTTTGTTTTGGCTTAGTTTTTGTCGGTTTCTTTATTCTACACAAGTGAAATCATCCTGTTATTTGTCTTTGTGAAGGGTACTTTGTGGTCAGGTCCCAGCCCAGCCAAAGTCAAGAGAAAGCTCACTCACTTGCAGCAATAAACTTGACATGTTTATTAATTAAACTATCACTTAAATAAAAAAAAGTGCATAGAAAATAAACATGTTTAAAAACTCCTTTTTTTTTTTACAACTATGTACACTTTTTACTTTTACATTCAGTCTTTCGTAGAGAGCTCTCAGCATTATTATTTTTTGAACTATTAAAGTATTTTCCTTCATCCCTGTCACAGGGAGTTAACACTGATGGACTTTAGACACATTTTTTTTCCTTTTTTTTTTCTCCATTTTTTCTCTAAACCAGAAGCTTGGAAGAACATAAGGAAAAAAAAAAAAAAACAAAAGATCTGTTATACATGATAAAGTTGTCAAGAAATGTCTTATTTCTAGAAAAGAAGCTTGTCATCTGTTGAGCTTTTGAAACAATTATTCAACTACCTGTATTTACTAAAGAGACTGTTAAAAGTTCAATAAAAGAAACACCACAAGTCTATTTTCTTGGTTGAAAGACAGAAGAACTAGAGTACCTCAGAACAAGATACCAGGAAAGCACAGAACACAATTTTCCCCTAAATGCAGGTGGTAACCCCAACATTCATAACCAAAAATAGAGAAACAAGGAGTACAGGTACTGACTGGCAACATTCACGGGCAGAAAAAAATCCAGGTGACACCATTTCTGCGTTTCCCTCTGACCCTGGGGACACACTGTCTTGCTGTCCCTTTGTGGTGTGGACATCCCCCAAGTCAGACCAGAGGATCGCCAGACTGACATTTTCCTGCCACTACTAGCAACTGTAACACAATCCTTATCTATAGTGTTAAGAGAATTAAAAGCCATGGACTGAACTAGGCTTTGTTACATGGTGCATTACTATATTAGTTCCTATATATATCATATTTATATTTGAAAACTAAAACAAAAAAGTTGCAAGTTTTCAGAGTGTGAGACTTGACTGGTTATTCATGATTCGGCACAAAACCATCTGCTCAATAACCTTGTATTGCTTTAAAATGAAGAAAATGAAACATAAAATTACACCCAGCCCTTTGCAATGACCCGCTTTTCCTTAAAAAAAAAAAAAAAAAAAAACAAAAAATCCCAAACTTGATTTCTATTTAAAAAAATCCCAAATCAAACCTAAAAGTTAACATCTGACAAGGTTTTGACCTTTAGTATTTTCAGATATTTGATTGAACGTCAGTCCTTTAGAAAGATACATTCATTAAAAGATTTTTTTTTGTTTCTGTTGTGTGTGTGTGTGTTTTTTTTTTTTTTTTTTTTAAATTAAGGGAGCTGCATGGTGCTCACTGCATTGGCCGGGAATAGGGGTGGGGGTTGACACAGGCAAGCGGAGTGGTGGACTGATCCTGGCAAAGGAGCTTGGTTGAAAACATATATAGCTGCCAGGGCTTCCCCTTGATTTGTTATTGGTGTAAAACAGGAGGGGCTGTGCTGGACGGCAACAGAGGGAGCCAAGGGACGAGTCCCGGCCAACGGGTCGGCGCCATGCAGCTATCGTGGTTATGCAGCTGCCACTGGCGCCAGGAGATGCAGCCACAACAGGTTCTAGCAGCAGAAGCTTAAGTGAGCTGTTTGCTCACTTGAGAACTGACCAGATTTGCAGCTGTTCCTCCTCAGGGACTTGGGATGCCCCCTGGGGGATTCTTGGGAATGACCCACCACAGTTCCTCAGTTTGCACTGTTGTGCAACAATTCCCTTGGTCACGTTCAAAACAAACTCAGGTTTTTTAGAGACAGCTATGCCTGTTTGTTTTTAAAACCTTCCCTCTTGTAGGGAAAAATCTTAGCTTATTCCCCAAGTTGCTGGCAGGTATGCTGAATTTTGGCAATGGACTCAAGGCTGAGCTGTAAGAGGAATTTCTCATTTCTGTGGTTGATAATCAGGGCGTTTGAAGGCAAGGCAAACCATCTGCAGCTGGCAAGAGAAGGAATGATGTGAGTTCCTCTCCTAGCCTCAGGGTTTGGGACTGGTAGAAAGAGAAATGAGGAGGGGGCTCACAGTACAGCATGGCCTAGCAGGGCAATAACTAGGTCTGTTTAGCTGTTTCCCCCACCCCTGACTGGCCTTTGGGTCTTTCTCAAGGTGAATTCATGACCCATCAGTGCATTAATCATTTCAGTAACAAATGCAGCTTAAGGTATTTTTCTTAAAAAAAAAAAAAAAAAAAAAAGGAATAAAAGGATTTACAAAAAAACCTCACACAGTGCAATAAAGGAAACCAGATACTAGTGGGACCCCTGGGGCCACTGTATCTTGTTCATGGGCTAGAGGAAGGGAGGTGAGGTCTGGGTAGAGTGCTTTTCCCCAGTCCCCTGCTGGCACTTCTCCACGATGACAAGGAAGTCTCTGCCATCCTGGCCACAGTGCTGGGCTCCCTGCAGGACAGTGGAAATAGCGACAACGTTCCAGCAAAGCCACCAAGACAAAGTTCTTAAGGTCACGGAAGAACAGAGAGCCCAGGATGGAAGGCACAGCAGAGCCATGAGTCCTGGGGCAGAGAGCGCTGGGCAGAGTCGTATTGCTTTGCTAGACCTCCATAAGAGTGGGCTTCTTGTGGCAAGAAAAGGTGCCCTGCCCTCTACTGGACTACAATGCTCTGAAACCTTGTGGCTGACAGGCAGAGAGAAATCTGCTTTATCGTGAGTGGTGAGACTGTGCTTCATTTTCAACGGGCTGCCCCAAAAGAGGGCACATGGGGATCCATGGGTTCTTTGCAAGTATGAGGACTTGGTGGGCAGAGGGAAAGGGAACGAGGTGAACTATGAGGCAGATGGTGATGGAAAACGTCAGGGTGCCACTCAACTTTCTACTTCCTCTGAAGTAGGAAAGATGAGGGAAATGTAGCAGATTCCCACCTCTCACCACTGAGCTAGTGCCAGAGCGACAGTGTGGGGAAGAAGAGGAGAAACTGCTGTGTCAAGATACTACTACAGCCTTTTGAGGAGCTTCAACATGGGAAGGAGAGGGGTGGCCCAATGCAGTTGGGTGACCTTCCTTTTCCATTTATTGTTAAAGAGCAAACCCAGAAGACGTTTTTATGTCAACAGGGCACAAACAAGCTACACATTAAACAACAAAAGTACACCTTCCAGGGGGAAGTTGGGCAGGAAAAACCAGACTTTTTGTGTACAGCTGAATATTTTCTCTAACTTCATCCTATGAAAATAAAAAGTTATTAAAAACCGATTTTCTTTTAAATTAGGATAATACCGCGGTTTAAAAAATAGCCTTATCATAAGTGCTTCTCCCTATGAAGTGCTTCTCATAGAAAAATATACAAAATATATTTACATTTATAAAACCTTAAATAGTAAACTGTAAACAGAACAGAGTAAAATCCAATGACTTAATTTTAACAGGTTCAGGACACTGTCTTGGGGGGAAGTAAGAGAAGAAACATTTGATGCTGTTTGATCACTTCCTAAGGAGTAATCAGGGCAGTAGTGTCATTTAACTCACTTTATACATGGATTTTACGCAGGTGAAAAGTTCCCTCAATGTATGGTGGTCTAGTCCCCAGTTTTGGGCCTTGAAATATATGATTAGTGTTTTACCTTCAACTGGACACTGACCATTTAAAAGTTAAGTCTTCCTATGTCTCAATGAGGGAAAGTAAAGTTACCATGTCCTAGGGAGGGCCAGGAGTCATCCTAGTTGTGATATTTTGGATGCTGCATGATCCAAATCCTATTTAAATATATATTTTTTTCCTCTCCTAAAAAATCATGCTACATAAATTTCCTTAAAACTCTCAATGGAGCTTTATGAAACATCTCCAAATTCTGT